ACACGTGTGGAAAATCATGAGTGATCTATTATGTTGTTATGAAATTCGGTTAGAACGAGTGTGCACTCTGTAAATATGTAATTTTTCAATTGGTTTCACCCTTAGGTTGGTGTCACCTGGTGCGGTCTGCACCCCCCCCCCTAGGCCCTAGCTACGCCACTGGATGTGAGCTTGGGGTCACCATCAGGGTTTCTTACAGTTATATCGCCGGGTGCAGTGCCCGCGGGGAAAGTTAAGTGCCCTCCCGGAGCAAAAATATGAACAATAAAGCAAAGTATATTTTATTTAAAAAATATCAAATTGTCATTTTTTAAAACAATTTTAAGAAATGTTATTAGCTGGTGTCATTAACCGATTACAATTAGTGAACAGTGAACTCTATGAAATATCGCTACAGTGTAGCCTACACTCGATATATTTGATGATCCTTATAGTTAAGGTTAGATCTTATCTTCTTAGAATTAGACGCATAAGTTAGTCGATTATAAATATCACAAATGTTTCGAAAATTTGCCAATTATGAGCCATAGTATTATTTCCCATTCGCATTTATCTGTATTTTTTGTTTAATTATTTTTTTCAAACTCACACGTTTAAATACTCTAATAACACTTTATTGAACTACATTAGCTTCTAATTTAAATAATATTTTTAATCGAGTTCTCACTAAGTATCAAACGTGAGCAATCTGTTCATGTTTTCAAATTACATTTTATAAAAAAAAGCATGACTTTTAAACTAGGGAGTGGTGTCAATTACAAATTGAATGATAACATCAAGCTTTCAAAAATATGGCTATTGTTAGCAATCAGTGTTTCTTTCAGCTATCTCTCCGGGAGGGCACTGCCCCCCGGGCCGGAGCACAATGTGTACAACAATATAACAACAATATATATATATTTATATTAAAAAGGACAATTGCTTAGTAACTGACGCCTTTAACCGATGACAATTAGTGGACTCTATGAAATATCGCTAGGCTCGATATATTCGATGATCCATATATTTAAGGCTAATCAAGTTATATTATTCGGTTATAAAAATCGCACTGACCGCTCCAGTCTTATTTCCTGTTGATTTCATATAATATATCGCTATTTTTATTTATTTCTTTTCTGCAACTTCACAAGTTTAAAGACTTAAATGACACTTTATTAAAATACATTTACATACCTATAAATGTCGACAATTTTAATAATAGTTAGTCAAGTATTTAACATGTGCAATCTGTTTTCAAATTATAGTTCATCGTAAAAGCATGAAAAAAAAAATTAGGCATTATGCTTTTTTTTTTTCTAACTTAGAATTTAAAGGGTGCAAAGAAATAGAGCACCTTTCAAAAATCATTATTAAATCAAAAGTTTTTGGTTGTCTTTAAATGTGCTACCTATGATAAAAAAAAGCTTCCTGAATAACAATTTTTTTTTTAAATACTTAGCCGTTAGCCTATATTTATTATTATTAACTTCCCAACTGCTTTTATCTTTGTAATATTAGAATAACAAACAAAATGCCCCATCATGCCAGTTCCTTTATTTTGGTGCGTGTTTTTAAAAAAAAATCGTCAATTTAAAATAGAGTCTGTGGATTTAGATACAAATGTTTTAAAGTATAGCGAAGATGCAATTTAAGAAAGTTATAGTAATTTGAAATTCCAAATAAAAATTTCAATCTACTGAATATTGGGAAATGTATATTTTATTTGCATACGAATTTCCCTTTAGATAAAATCACACATTAATAAATATAATGTCTTCCGTAAACAACTCATGTCTTCTTAAAATAGTTATGCCACTCATATGCAATGTATAAAAATGACCAGTTTTCAAAATCCATAATAAGACCTTTCTAATAAACCTGTTTTTTTTTCTTCTTTTTGACTCTGGTAAAATTAGGACATATTTAGAAAAGTTAGTCTAAGCATTATAATTATAATAAGTAAGTTTGTTTTTTCCATTTGTGTTCATCATATAAAATAATGTTTGCAGTACTTTCTAGCGATGAAACCCTTTTTATTTGAATATTGTTTTTGAAAATTAATGTATTAATTAAGTAGTTATCCTTAAAAATACTGTAAATAAAAAATAAAAGCCACATAACTATTTTTAATTGAATAATTATTTTAATAATTTTTTTAAGCAGGTCGTGCTACATCTGTTTGACAACTCTGCATAGAAAGATGATAATTAAGAAAATATCCTCACATCTTTAAGCCTTAAAATATCCGAGGCACCCTTTAGTTAAGTGGCACCTATATTTTGTATCTAGGATATCTTTCGTTGCTCTCCAATTAAGTGTGGAATGTTGCAAAACTAAATTCAGATATGTGAAAAATGCATTTTTGTATTTTGAATTTATCAAAAATTTTCTGGGGACTATAAGGATTTAAAGGGCGAGAATAATCTAGGGCAAAATCGTACCCTCAAGGGTGATATAACTAGAGTGAATATAGTTTACGTCCCACTGGTGCGAAATTTAAGATGTCTTTGGTCATTCTTATGGCTAATTTTCCCACCATTTCCCACCCGAACGATTGAAATGCCAGATCAAAATTGACTGAAAGAAACAACCAATTCAAGTATGCGCCAAAATAAAGCACCCCTGCATTTTGAGTTTGTACGACTGTCTTTAGCCCCCTTAATTATGCACCCCTTCCATCACGCTGATCAATGGCACACTATGGGGTTGATTATAAGCCTATCCCTAATGATTACCCTGGGCCATGCCACAAACGGAGTGAAGTCCGTTTATATATGGCACTGGGCTAAATTTTGCCTCCCAGAAAACATTCAAAATGTTCTTCCCTGTTCAAAAGGTATAATAGAAACATTGAATTAAAGTGTACTCAAAAATACACCTCTTGATTTTGAAACAATCAAATATTTTATGAGGAGCAAACTCCCCTAAACCCCTCCAGCGATCAAGATTCATTGTTGTCCTCGATTTCCACACTACTTCTCGATTAAAATTATCGCCGATTTCGGTATCGATAGATACACTGACTAGTGGCGTAGCTACTACTACTATTAAGGCTACCAGGAGTGGCCAAATATAATTTTGCCGTCCTTCCTTTCACGGCACAAACTCTGGAGTTGTCAAAAAATGCCACACCAGCATATAAGGAAAAAAGTGAGTGACACCATGGTGGACCACTCCATCCGCCCTATCTTGACGCCACTAGCAGTAGCGTATCTACAGTGTTTGGCGTCAATGGACATTATTCATTTTTAAGCCCCTCTCCAACTCTGAAACCTGTTATTTTCAACTAATTAATTCCACCAAAGAACACCCCCCCCCCATCAAGTCTGGCCCCCGGGACGTATGTCCCATCTGCCACCCCTTAGCTACGCCTTCTGCCACTGGCAACTGGCATGACCCCCCCCCCCCACCCCCTTTACGAAAATCTGAATTTTGAAACGATAACATTTAATAAAAAAGTTTTTTTTGTTTTTTTAACGCAGATATCTTGCCAAGTTGACTTATATTGATTCCGAGTGAAAATATGATTAATGATTTAGAATTTAAGTAAGTGTTATTAATCAACTTTTATATGTTATTATACAAATATGTATGCCAGCTATGTCATGTCATTCAAATATAATCTACACTTTGAAAAATCAATCCGTTTGTAGTTATATCCATAACTTTATTGCACATTCAGATTACTTGCCAGTTACATGGGAGCCCTTGTGTTGTATCCAATTTATTATGTTTTATTAGTAAACATGATATCATACTCAAGTATAGTGTAACTAAAATACTTTGCATGTAAGAGATTTACACTTTTATATTTAATGCGATCTTCCAATTCAAACTTAATTCTGTCCTTTAAAAAAAATGCAATTAAAAAAAATAATAATAATAAATTCAAGTTAAACTTAAATTCAATGAAAAATATTATCGTATTTCGTGCATATAAGACTCACCCGAATATAAGACGCGGGTTTTGACAATTTGTGTACAAATATTTTACATAAGACGCACTCATATATAAGACGCGGGTTTTGAAGATTTGTGTAAACAAAAATTACATAAAGGGTCGTCCACTAATTATGTCAATAAATTAGGAAAAAAGGAAGGGGGGGGGGGTGGGATGGAAATGTTTAACAATTGTTGACAAGGGGAAAGGGGGGTGGGGCTAGATTAATTGAAGTCAACAATCATATTTTCTCTCTTAAAATTTTAATCTTAAAGATTGAAAGGTAAATAACATAATTTGTGTAAATAAAAATAGTTATTAATCATTTTTAGGCTTTTAACATATACGATTTTTTTAAATGTGCGTCTGTCTGTGCACTGTGAACTGCTGATGGCTAGTCAGAATGTTAGTACATTTAATTACTGCAAGAGAAGTCAAAAGTTGGCCTCTCTTCAAATGTAGATTCTATTTGTCGCAAATGACTTGGGTGGTATGTTTGCGGTCATGTTGCAGGTATGGAACAAGGTTCAAGAGTCATGTGCGGTCATTTACGATCGTTCCCACGTCCTTACGGATATTTATGGACAAGTCCTTTTAGGTTTTTTTTACATTTGGGTGGTGGGTGGGTGGGGGGCTCTCCGAAAATGTATGGAGCCTGGCAAAGTCCAAGTCAGTCTAACACACTCAAAATCAAAAGAGTGACACTGCACTTCCATTTTTAATTAGGCTATTATATTTTTTTTTTATTAGCAAACATTTCTCGTCTACATCTACACAACGCTATGTGGTCTAGTTATCATCATGGCCATCACTAGTTATCAATCTCCCCTAGAGCTCTTGCTTAAAAGTTAGACTACGTTTACAATTCACTTGCACTTAAACTTACACATAAAGATTATTAAATATATTTCCCTCCAAGTCATTCATATCTTCGCGGTTGGCCTTTAGTAATGTGCTCCACTTCCGCTTAGGGTCATAAATGAAAAACAAATTACCTACTCTTGTTTTCGTTTAATAAGCGTACAACTACAAAACAAAACATAGTAACATAGCTTTAGATGGGATGTTCAAAATTCAAAATGTATCCCTTGTACTTTTTAGTCTTTAATATTGGAATTTAAGGAGTAATTATTCTCTAGTCAGGTATGCATTATGCATGTATGTATGCGGGCTGTAATATTGGGTTCAATAGGTGCGCAAAAAAAAAAAAAAAAAAATCCCTGTTCAGTATGCCTGTCTACTCTACTCTGTCTACACTACTAGTACTACTGTAAACTGTGTAATTTTTTTTATAAATTTTTGTCTATGGAATTTAAGGAGTAATTATTCCCTAGTTAGGTATGCATTATGCATGTTTGTATGCGGGCTGTAATATTGTGTTCAAAAGGTGCGCAAAAAAAAAAAAAAAAAAATCCCTGTTCAGTATGCCTGTCTACTCTACTCTGTCTACACTACTAGTACTACTGTAAACTGTGTAATTTTTTTTATAAATTTTTGTCTGTACTGTACTTTAACTGTAACTTTAAGTGACTGTAAGTTGTAACTTGGTAAAGTTGGTTGATGTAGTAGTAGTAGTTACCACCAACACTAATAACTAACAACTACTACTACTAATTCATACTGGGACTGGGACTGGCCAACTGGGATTCTTAGTTATAGTATAGTCAGTATAGTTTTAGACTTTACTTTAGAAATGTACTGTAGTATAGTATGACAAATCAGTATGCAAATTACAATAACAATTATTTCAAGTTACTGTGTGAGAGATTGAACAGATCGAGACTTGAGTGAGTCTGACTGAGTGAAACTCCCTTTTACTTACTTACTAAGTACAGTGTCTGCTAAAATTTAAATGCTATTCTACTATTATTAACCTTGTTTTTAAACTAAAAATTTTAGTGTTTGTTTGAGTCATTATTGAGACTCGAGCAATAAATAGGCTACATTTCTAAGTTTATTTATTAGACATTGGTGCTCTTTCCTCAGCAGATCACTATTATCAGGGTTGAGAAGACCTTCACTGAAAGTTTCATCTGACACACCACAATCAGATTTTCACATCAATCATTTTTGTTTAGGGTATTTTTCATCTAAGCTTCACGGACTATAAGACGCACTTTTGTCTTCAAAAAATTGCCTCCAAAATTCAGGTGCGTCTTATAATTAGTGATGGGACGATACCAAAATTTTTAATGATTCCGATACGATTCTGATTCTACCCAATTATCCCGACTCCCGATACGATTCCCGATACCATTCCGATTCCTGGCCATTATTACATATATGTATTACTGTGCCCCGGTATTAACATATTTAATTAATATAAAAGTTGAGAATTGATTAGAAAAGTTTATCAACTTGCTATTGAAGCTTTACAATATGCTAGATAACAATATCTTGGAAAGGTTTTATACGCGAAACAAACTTTGCGCTGTCACCGGCTTACGGCAGTTAATCAGTTAAGAATCGTTTTGGTATCGGAATCGGGTCTGAATTATTCAACTCCGATATCGATTCCCGATGCTTTGGAAAAATCCAGATATTTCGATTATTCCGATACGATTCCGATTAATCGTCCCATTACTACTTATAATCAAAATTAATATAAAAATGGTAAAAATCTCATTTTTAATAAAAAATTGCTTAAAAATCAAGGTGGGTCTTATAGTCAGTAGCATCTTATTGTCTGTAAAATACGGTAGGTATTTTACGCCTAGATGTTTAATAATTGCTGAAATTAAAACTTCACTGTTGATCAAGATTATCTAAAGCTGAGTTTATGGAAATAAAAACATAAAATAATAAAATGGAACTAAGTCAAATGTAAGTGAAATGGTATTAGTCTAAATATTTAAAATATTAAAAAACAAATTAATATCTTGATTTTTGAAGATGATTCATTTGATATAGTCATTATTTCAATATAGCCATTAAAAAAATATAATTTCTATCTGTCCATAGGAATGTAACATCAGTTGTTTAGAACTTTAGAAATGAAGCTACTAACATGGAATATCAATGGAATCCGTGCTGCTAAAGGTAAACCAAGTATCAAGACTCTCCTAGATTCCTTAAATGCTGATATAATATGTCTTCAAGAAACAAAAGTAACAAGTAAGTTTTGCATCACATGTGTTTTTAACTCTTAATTTGTTGCCTAAAAATTGCTTAAAAATAAGAAGAAAAGTCATAATTGAAAATAATATATAAGATTTATCATTATTTAGCTCATTTAACAGGAGAGGGGAAATTGGGATGACAACTTTTTAAAATTTAATTTTGTTAATCATAGGGGACATGTTGGATGAGCCTACTGCAATTGTAGATGGTTACGAGTCTTACTTCAGTTTTTCAAGAAAGCGATCTGGCTACTCAGGTAAATTTTCTCTTTTTTTCATTTGATTGACAGTGACATCATTTGTTGATGTACAATAAGTGCCTCCCTAGGTGGCAGATAGGGGAAAGCCCACCAGATATGGCGGGTCCTGTGTAAAATAAAGTGCCCAGGGCAGATCTAAATCAATGTCTTGTAGGAAGTAGAGGGATCCTCAAAGGCTAGAGAACCTTACCCGAAAATTAAGGAAGCTACCTAGAGAGCTGTAAGGGGCAGCCCCCCAGACCAGGGCTAACAACCCGGCCATGTAAAAAAAAAAAGTTACAAAAGCAAAACAACAAAATAAATCCCAGCCTGAACTTAATGGCAATGGACCCATGCCTGGATATGAACATAATTTTTGGATTTCGACTTGGAACGCACTAAACTTGTTTAGAGCAGGAGCCTTAGCGAACTTAATAGATCTACTAATTAATAAATACAAATCACTATTGCTGCATTGTAAGAAATTTGATGGAAAAATGCAGACATCCTCAAGACAAATGACTACACCATATTTTATAGTGGCAACAAAACTCTTGGAGCAGGATTTTCTATGAAGAAAGAAGCCGTCAGTGCAATCATGGGTTTTAAACCAGAAAATCAAAGACTGTGCTCTTTGTGTGCATGGAGGGAAAATGTTGAATATACCATTTATAAATGTTCATTCTCCCACCCAAGATACAAAAGCAGATAAAAGAATTTTTTTATGAGACGCTGGAAAAGATCTATGAAGAGGTACCACGACATGATATTAAAATAGTGATTGGCAACTTAAATGCCAAAATAGGGAAAGAAAAAGTGTTTATGCCAACTATTGGCAAAGAGAATTTACATGAAGAATCCAATGACAAAGGGATCCGACTTATAGACTTTGCTTTAGGAAAAGGGATGACAGCAGCATCAAGTTTCCACACAAAAATAAAGTTACTTGGAACTCACCAGATGGAATCACTCACAACCAAATTGACCATGTTCTAATCGATCAGAGGCATGGATCAGACAGATTAGACTAAAAAGTTTTGGGTGCAGACTCTGACCATCTACTTGTAAGGGTTTAAGGGTTAAATATAAGCAGAGAATTAGCATAATTCACAAGGGCTGAAATGCAAGTGAAAAATGATATCATTACCAAAAACTTACCAAAGATCCAACAGCCACTAAAGCTTGCCAAAATGAAGTAGAAGCACAACTAGAAGCATAACAGAAGGAAATAGACATGGAAAATAACATAAATGAACAGTGGAATTGGATAAAAAATGCTATGAAAAGATCAGCAGAAAAAGTAGTATTATTTCATCCAACTAACAACAGAGTAGGCTGGTTTGATAATGAATGGAGAGAGACTAACAAAACAAAGGAACAAGGCACCAATGACCATGATACAAAGGGAAACCAGAAAGACGAGACACATATACAATGAAGCCAAAAGGAAAGTCATGAAAATGTGTAGGAAGAAAAGGGAATGGGAAAAAGCTTAACTAAAGAAATTTAAGACTTAACAAGAGAGAGATATATTAGAGGAATGACGAAAAGAATGTATACCAACCCAGACCTCGAATGTGTGAGAGCAATGATAGAGAATAATTACAGAAATTAGTAAAGCACTGAAGAGTAGGGCTGAATATCTTGATGAAATACTAAATGCAGACTATGGACAAGATGAAGATTATCAACCATCACATGGAGGACCAGACCCCAGACTGCGACGAAGTCACGACAAACAGTTCCGGCTGGTAAAAACAAGAACAAAGTACAGAAGCTCCTCATTCCTGCCAAAGACAATAGGGGACTGGAACAAGCTTCCAAAAGCAACAGTTGAGGCGGCTACACTCGAGACATTTGTGTCTATTGCCTCCTGTATTCCAACCCCCAGTTCATAACACCACTGCTGAGTCGCCCTTGCAACCAGTGAAGTATCCCATTGAAACCCATGGACAGTAACATCGCAAACCCCTCTGAAACATAGGAGCCAGAATGATCAATTCATTGATCGTGGGCCCTTAAAATAA